GAGACCTTCAGAAGCATTTCCAAAACGAAAAACCGCACACCCCTAACACGTTTCGTGAACCCATACAGAGCTCCACCGAAGGTCACAGCGGCCGTCATCGCATGCGCCTCCCCGAGGCCCGCATGCCATGCCCGCCCCATGTTGGCACACCCCTCATGAGGCTCGCCTGTCTCACGCGGTGTGCGGTCCCATCAGGGTTTCCCCCCTCGTTCGTCCCACCTGCCCTGCAACACATGTAACTGCATATGGTAGGGTCCTTCGCCAAGGTATGTTTCCAAATATATGGGTGATGCGACCTACGTGGTATAATGTATGGTGGTGGATGCTCTATGGCGCAAGCTATGTAGTGCAAACTATGTGGTGCAAGCTACGTGGTGCAATCTATGTGGACCAATCTTCGCGGTGCAATCTATGTGGCGCAAGCCTTGTGCTGCAATATCTGTGTTTTGTGGCGGAATCTATGCGCTGCACGTTGTGTGGTGCGATTTACGTGGTGCAAGCTACGCAGTGCAGCCTGTGTGGTGCAGTCTACGTGGTGCCGTCTGTGTGATGCGGTCTACGTGGTGCAAACCACGCGACTGGCGAAGCAATGTATGCAGTGCGAACTATGTGGTGTGCCGGATAGTTCGTTGTGCAATCTATGAAGTGATATTAATTTCTGGTCGCAATGAGTTGTCCACTCCACTGCTCGCGCAAACATCCCACCCACCCACCCGCAACTTGGTTTGCAAAATCTCTTAAGACCGTGACGGTGGGTACCAAATGGCACTTGGCAACGACAGCGACGCCGACGACGACAGCGACAACGACGACGACGACGACGCCGACAACGAGTACGACGACACCGACGACGTCTCCAACGACTTCGACGACGCCGACAACGACGACGACGACACCGACGACGACGCCGACCGACGACGACGACGACGACGATGACAACGACGACGACGCCGACGCCGACGACGACGACAACGACGACGACGACCACGACGACGACGTCCACGACGCCGACGACGACGACGACGACGACGACGGCGGGACGACGACGACGCCGACGTCGACGACGAGGACGACGACGACGCCGACGCCGACGACGACGACGAAGACGACGACGACGTCGCCAACGAAGACGACGACGAGGGAGGAGGGAGGACGACGACGGCGACAACGACGACAACGACGAGGGAGGAGGGAGGACGGCGACGACGCGAAACGAGGGAGGAAGGACTGCGACGCCGACGACGGCAAAGACGAGGGAGGAGAGAAAACGACGACGACGACACGACGACGACGACGACGACGGCGACGAAATAGGAGGGACGACGACGAGACGCCGACGACGGACGACGACGACGAGGGAGGAGGAGGAAGGACGACCACGGCGACAACGACGACGGAAACGACCACGACGCCAAAGAGGACGACGACGACGAACACGAGGAAAGACAGAGGACGACGTAGGCGACGACGACGACGACGACAACGACGCGGGAGGAGGGAGGACGGCGACGACGACGACGACGCAAGAGCGCGCGCGCACGCTTTTGTTGAAAATCCGTGTTGCGAAACATTGTGTTTTTGTAGGTTTTTTGGACGCACGATTTTGAAATCCTTCCAGAACCGATGGGCTTTGAAGGTTTTCGGCATACGCGCGCGACGACGCGCGCGTCTGCACTTCGTCGCATGTTTTGCAGGGGATTCTCGCGACGGCACACGCGCAAGGGCGTTCGACAGATTTCGACATGAGCGCGCGCGAAGCCCGTTTGGTAGCATGTTCTTAAAATATTGGAAAACCTATGGTTTTGTTAAGATTTCGCAAGAGTTGTCGCGGAAGTTGTTTTAGCAACTCTGTGTTGCGAAATCCGGTGTTTTTTAATGTATTTGTTGTATCCTTCCCGCACCCAAAAGTGTTTGAAGGATTTCGGCATGCGCGCGCGACGACGCGCGCGTGCGCACTTCGTCTCATTTTGTGCAAGGGATTCGCGAAAAAGTGCTATGCTAGAACAAAAAATGTCACCGCATAGTGTTTTCTACAAACGAACCTCAGGGGGGGAAACCGGTTTGGCTGGGATGGACTGGTTTCATATTCAGGATGGACGAATGTGCGGAATATATATATATATATATATATATATATATATATATGTGTGTGTGTGTGTGTGAAATCGTAATATCCCAGGGGGAACCGACAAGTCCGGGGGGGGGGTAGAGTCTATTATTCTTTTTTTAGAGAGGAGAATCTACGTGACCTGAACGATATGATGCTACAGTGCAACGTACGCGGTGCAATATCAAGCTCTATTACATGTAAAATATATGGTGTAAACTATGTGGTGGAACCTCCGTGTTGCAATACATTGTTGTCGCGGTGATTTGTCAACTCCACGGCTCGCGCAATCGTCCCACCCACCTACCCGCAACTCGGCTTCACAACCAATGCGGCGGCGATTGTGATGGCTGCTCGGCGCTGGCTGGTGCATCGCAGCGGCCGCGCTAGCGCCTGCATTCTCGGGCGCAGCTAGTCTGGCGCGACCGGCGCGGCCGCGGTGACCGCTGGGAACTCCCCAGCGCGTGTCGCAGGCCGCGTTGACGCGCGGACACTTCAATGGAGTCGGTGTTCGGGCGGGCGCGGTATTTTGGCGACGTCGGCAGCGGCAAAAACGATGACGATAGACGATGCTGGTGACGATGACGGCGGCAAGGCAAATGGCAGCGCCGAGGTTGATCATGCCGATGACGATGATGGTGTCCACGTGTCGGTGATGAGCGTTTTAAGATATTTCGACATGCGCGCGATGCCAACGCGCGCGAGTGGCCCGCATTGTATTATTTGGCAGGGATCGTGCCTAGCAGCACGCGCGCAAGGTCATTCGAATGATTTCAGCATCCGCGCGCGAGGGGCACGTTTGGAAGAAAGTGACGGAAATGCTGGAGAACCGGTGACTTCCTTCATTCTTCGCAAGAGAGCGAACGTTGGCTTTTTCTGATAACTACAAATGCGAAACAATTGGTTTGTATGTGTGCTTGGGACACTCGACTTCGGAGTCCCAACGAAACCTACGGTTTTTGATCGATTGCGACATGCGCGCAACGCGTAGGTGCGCTGTGCGCCCCATGCTTCGCAAGGGTCGGCAGCACGCGCGAAAAGGGGACTCGAATGACTTCGACACGCGCGCGCGAGATGCCCTCTTGGTCACAGTTGATAAAACTGTTGGAACAAACTATCGCTTTTCTTGAGCACTTCGCATAAGCGCGAGCGCAAGTTGTTTTGAAATTCCTGTTGCCTAATCACTTTGGAGTGTATGCTTAGGACACTCGATGTTGGCACTTTAAAAGATTTGGACATGCGCGCGCGACGACGCGCGAGGTGCACTTCGTCACATCTGTTGCAAATGACTCTGGCGACAGCACGCGCGCAGGGGCTTTCGAATGATTTGGACATGCGCGGGCGAGGGTCAAATTTGGCAGAGGTTGATGACAATGTTGAAAGTGGTTCTTTTAAGAATTCGCATGCGCGCGAACGCAGGCTTTTGTTTTGAATTTCTGTTGCGGACCCATTGTCATTCTGGCGTTCGGGACACCCGAGATCGAACTCCATACGAAACCCAAGGTGTGCGAAGGATTTCGGCATGCGCGCGCGACGACGCGCGCGTGCGCACTTCGGCCACTTCGTTACAAATAAAGGATTCATGAAAAACTGCTATGTTAGATCAACGAATGTACCCCGCATGTTATCATCTGGCAAGGAGGAAAGGGGGGCGATAACCAGGCTGCCTGGGGTGGTATGACTTCAAAGCTAAGACGACCCACTGCGCAAAAACCATATGCAACGCCATATACGGAAAAAATGCGAAAGGCGTCGTGCTAATCCTGTAGAGGGGGTCGACTCAGAATACTCTTAGGGCACAGTGAAAACATGCGATGTGAGCTACGTGGTGTAAGGTATGTGGTGCTATATATGTTGTGCACAGAAAGCAATGCAAGCGTGGTGCAATACATGTGGTGCAATACATGTGTTAACGGCTGGTATGCCCAGAGCGATGGGGCAACGACAGCGACCCCATGGGCGCGCCAGACAGACGGGCAGGCCCAAGAAGACAGGCGGCGACCATGCGGCGACGACTACCACATAGCCGCCATAAAGACGGACAGGCCCAAGTCCTCGGAAAAGAAATAAGGCCCCCTAGGTGCAAACACTGTTTAGGAACGTATTACCGCTGATCCACCCAAGTCATAGTTTCCCCTTCGATATTCGCACACATTTGTTGTCTCAGAGAAATACCCCTGCTCAAACTGAAGTGTCAAGCCCCCAATTCACAACAACAACAACAACAACAACAACAACGACAACAACGACAACGGGTCTCATACTTCCGCGCAACTTTGTGAGGCATCGAATTCTGGCTTGAGACTGTCGTGTGTCCATTTCTTCCTCCAGCTTCTCCTCGCTCCACTTACATCCTCCTCTTCCTTTTTCCGATCCACCCTTCTCCTGGTCCCTAATAATACTCTTTTCCCTATGCATGCTCCCCTGTCTCCCTCTCTGTTCCCAAGCCCCTCTCCCTGACCTTTCTCCTTCTCGACGATATATCTACCCCCTCCTCTTGCAAGTCTCTACTCCTCGTTCGCATGTTTGGAGTGGGCGGGGAGTCAACTCCCCATTACCCCCTCCCCCCCGTCGACGACAACGACGACGACCACCTCGACGGTGACGACGACGACGACGACCTCGACGACGACGCGACCACCTCGTCGACGGCGACGACGACGACCTCGGCGACGACGACGACGACGGCGACGACGACGGCGACGACGACGGCGACGACGACGACTACGACCTCTACGACGACGACGACCTCGACGACGACGACGACAACCTCGACGACGAAACGACGACGACGACGACGACGAAACGACGACGACGACGACGACGGCGGCGGCGACCGCGATGGCGACCGCGATGGCGACCGCGATGGCGGCTGGCGGCCAGGCCGCGATGCCTCTGCAGCAGGCCGCCAGCGGAGCTCTCGACGGCGCCCATGGCTCCGCGTAGGGGGGCGGCGCGCGCGCGCGAGCGACCGCGGCGGTGGCCGCCGCTCGCCGTGGTCCCGCGCGCCGACCGGGAGACTCGGGGCGCCCGCGGAGCTCGTCGTCGTCGTCGTCGGTTTGATCGGCTGCCGTTGTCGCCGTCGTCCTTTTTGTTCCTCCTCCTCCTCCTCGTAATTACACTCTCTCTAGTCTTCCGCATTCCCTGCTCCGCCGTTGCGCTTTGCCCCAGGCCCCCTCGCGCTGCAAATGCCATTCAAGGCTCAGGGTTATGATTCGACACCTGGATTGGCAAATAAGAAGATATTGAACACAATGGCAAGGTATGGGAGGGGTGAGTAGGAAGTCTGATGTGGCGCGAGCGCGTATAGCTTAGCCGTCTCCTATTTTTCCTCTTCTGGTTCATGTTCCTATCCTTGCTCCGCCTCCTCCCAAGCCTTTAGGCATCCAGCGAGGCCGCGGGGCTTGGGGGCACGTCCGCAAGGATGGAACTGTTTCAACCTGGTGGGTGCTGGTGAGAGACAGGCAGACTGCGACCAGACACGAGTTCCCTGGACACGTTTTTTTTTCGGCCCGCCAATAGCGCGCCCAAGAGAGACGGGGTCTTCCGAGAGCGGGAGGACGCAGCGACCCCACGCCAGAGTCTCCGCGGGCCGACAACGCGGCGCACCGTGAAGGAGAAGAGAGTGCCCACTCGAGACCCTACTGCAGGCTGGTGTCGTGACGACCTGCGCGTCGGTTTCCACCGCCTGGATCGTTCAACCTTGCGCAATCGGGGGCTTTCTGATCGCCTGACATGGCGGCAGATTCCAGGCCACTGGCGGTATTCAACCTTGAACGCCCGCGCCAGAATTGCTGCCGCGTCGACACGCCCCGAACCCATCGCACAGTGGCAGCTCACGCGCAGACGCCCGCGCGCCCGACCCCGCCCGTCTGCGCCGCCCACCCGCAGGACGAGGGCAGAGCAGGGCGCCGGCGCAGCGGAGCGGTGGCGGCCGCAGCAAAGAACCCCCCCCCCCGCGGAGACATGGGGGGCGGCCACCCCTGGCAAGGCTTCCCGGGTGCGTACAGACAGCCCACCCAAGGAGCCCCCGCTGGCTCAACGGGCCACCTTGGCGCAGCCTCTGGCGGCGCCCATGGGGCGCTCCGGGCGCCAAAGTGGGGCCGCCAGCGCGGCACGCTACATTGGAAACGAGGGCGCTTACGCGCGACTTTGCGCGGGCACCTCACGCGCGAGTGTCGGGGCAGTCGACTCGGTTTTCTGTTCATCTGGGCCTCCCTGTAAGAGCAGGAGCCGACGTTGGCCAGGGCCACCTCTGGCAGCACCCCAGCAGGGGTCGCGTCGGGAGTAGGAATGGGGGAGGAGGGAGGCGGGAGGACGCTAGGAGTCAACTCCAGGGGCACCTTCGTGGCGTGGGCGCGACTCGTTGTTCCAGTCAACAGTGCCCTGCAGACGAAGTGAAAGGGCCCATGCAGACGGCGCAAGCAATGCAATCTGAACGGACACGGCTGACCTCTGACGGTGGCAGACGCAGCAGGGCACCGACCGAGGAGCCAGCAGGGACCCAGGGCCACGCAATGGGGGCGGGACCGAACGCGGGCAGCAGGGTGAAACACGCACTAGGGGAGCGACCTTCAAGGCGGAACCCTGGTGCAGCAGGAGGAGGAGGAATAGGAGGAGGAGGAGGAGGAGGAGGAGGAGGAGGAGGAGGAGGAGGAGGAGGAGGAGGAGGAGGAGGAGGAGGGGGGGGGAGGAGGAGGAGGAGGAGGAGAAGGAGGAGAAGGAGGAGGAGGAGGAGGAAGAGAGCTCCCAGCTCCCAGCTGCACAATGTCCAGGGAGCGACAAGAAACAATGAGGACCTGCCAGCGGCGGCCAGGCGGGCACAAACAGCACTGGGTCTCAGGCTGCCAGCGGCCTGGGCGTGGGCAACAGACCAGCGGGTGACCAACCCAGGAGGCCAAGGAGAGAAGCACAGCCTTCATCGTGCCTTCCTCGCCACAGGCTGAGCTCCGAGGGCTCGCGCGGTCAGTCCAGTCAGCTGGCTGAGCAACACGAGAGGCAAGGAAGAACAACAAAGAAGCGCGAGGCAGGCAGAGGCGAGCAAGGCACGGCAACTGAAAGAATCCTCAGATGCGCCGAGCAGAGTGCTGCGACTGCCAGGCTAAAACATAGCGCGAGACTAACAAATCCGAATCACCACTCGCCCCACTACTTTGAGCACGGTGTGCACCAGCAGCACAGGGCAAGCGGAGCGAGGCAGCGACATGCGAGAGCGTTGCACTCTCATCGGCATCGTCAGATCTGGTCGCCCACTGTGACTAGACATGTGATGCGCATCATCGAATTCGCGACGTGGCAACTCAACACTACTCCCTTTGAGCTTATGATGCCTGCCACGCTGCACAAGTCGCCAACGCTCACAATCACTACGACCTGTGCTATTCGGGTCACATTGGCGTCGTATGTTCAACTTGTGGCCAAGACAGGTGTAGGCGTTACACCTGATGACGACGGATAAGTGTGAAGTATCGCTGCGCTGAAGGGCCAAAATGCGGCGCCAGAAATTCGAAACTTCCTGAACAGCGGGTGGCGGTTCGCCTGGACATCCACCTGCTGCGGGCTTCAGAGAAGTCCTACGACACGGGGAGCAGCTCGCACATTGCCAAACAGCTCTGCGCCACGCTCATTTATGCTCGAATACTGTCGAGGACGGCAGAGGTAGGGCGGGCTGCTCACGAGCAGCTTCGCCGAGGTCGAGTTTAGGCCAACTGGCTCGCAACATAATCTCTGCTCGGCGGCGACATCGGGCGAGTCGACTACATGTGCCTTGACTTTGCGGACTTCCCGCCAATGGGCGGAAGCGGGGGAGACGGCAGAGCCAGAATGTTTCTTGCGGTGCGAGAACGAATGGCCTTCGGCGCATGATGGGACCGAACGACTCCCTCACAATCCGCATAGCCCGTGGTGGGCCCTTCCAGGCAGTTGGCAGTGCCAGCGTAGGCCGTATTTTCTGCAGCCTGAGAAGCCGGAGTAAACTGCGCACACACAGAACATCATGCAGAAACACAGCTTTCTCCCTGGGCATCCACAGAGGCGAACCCCCAGCCCGCCCCCCCGATTACACAGCTCCTTGATGATGCGAGGACGTGCCGAGCCGTCCCCCCAACAAAAATCCCAAGAGGCCTGTAAATGCCGAAATCTCCGAACAAACGCTGGCGGCGCACCTTTTCCGATCCAGCGCACGATTTGCTGGCGCGGAAGATATGGGGCACGATGCGCCCATAGAGCTAATTGGCTGGACTGGAACATGAACAAGCAGGTGAGACGCCGGGCTCAATGTCGACTGCCACTGCAATAGTTACCAGCAGCATGCGGGCGCCGTTGACAGAACAGCCGGGCTAACTCTATCATGAATGCTAAAGCACCCCCTTCTCCCACTCCGACTCCCCTCCTGCGCGTATGCATCATCCTCAATTCGACTCTCTTCGACTCCCGTTCCGCACAAATGCTCTCCTCCTCTCCCCGCCTGTTCCTCCTCCTCACCGGCTGCGCTACGGCTCACAACATAGAAACAACATGTTATCCTCCTCTCCCCGACTCCTCCTCATCCCCCTCCGCCTTCTCCTCCTCGCCGCCGCCTTCCCCCCCTCTCCCGGGAGACGTCCGCGGATCCCGCGCCAGGCGCAGCCCCCAAAAGGTGCACAAGCCCAAACCGCTTGTTGGGCTAACCCGGAGAGCGACGTCGGGCCGATCCCGCGCCACCGGGGGGTGGGGGCGCTGCCGTGGCGCGCACTGCGATCCGCCGCCTCCGCCGCCGCCGGGTGACTCGGAGGGGCGCTGGCTGTGCACCGAAACCGACGCGCGCGCACGCGCGCGCACGCACGCACGCACGCACGCACGCACGCACGCACGCACGCACGCAAGCACGCGCACACGCACACGCACGCGCACACGTGCACACACGCACACACCTACACACACACTCTCTATCTCTCTCTCTCTCTCTCTCTCTCTCTCACACGCACACACACACACACATTCTGCGTCTCCTCAAGAACTACGGCGAGATCGCCCACACGGGTACGTACGACACCGCCGGTGGGACGGGACGCGTGAGCGAGCAGCGACAGGCCTTTCACGCAGTACGCCCAGGACGGCGTACACCAGTCATGCCCTCCCCCCACCACTCAACAAGCAACGTCCTGGACCCAGGGCCGGGCCCAGGGAGTAGCTGGCCGGGATCGGTGTGGGTGCAGAGCGGGCGCCCCCCGTGGGAGATGCAGGCCCGAACGCGGTGCCCATTCCGTCGCCCGCCTCCTCCGAGTCTCCCCCGTTCCACTCGCACCCCTGCCCCCCCCCCTCCGCCCTTTCAGCTCCGGCCTTCGCCCCTCCACCCCCCGCCCCCCTTTAGAAACTCTCCATGGGCGGATCCCGGGACCGCATGGACGCAGTGGGGCACAGGAGGGGTCTCCGGGGCCAGGCGAGGAGGGCGAAGACACAACGGAGGATGAATCCCACCGGCCCTTTAGGACGTGAGTGGTTTGGAGAGTTTCCCCTTCCAACCCTGCACTTCCCTATCGGGGAGGGGTTTCCCCCCCCCCTCTCTCTACCCCCTCCCTCTGGGTCTGGACGGGCCTCTCGCGAGGTGTCAGAGCGTTTTTTTTAGCCTCGGCGAGAACACCCAAGTCATTCGTTTGATTAAAATGTTGCCCACATGTGGGGTGGTGATGGTGGTGGGGGGGTATGGAGGGGTGGGATAAAGGATGGCGTAGGCGGCGTATGTAGGAATGATGTCTGACGTGCGCGCCGCGGAGGAACGGGATGAGGAGGATGAGGAGGATGAGGAGGATGAGAAGGATGAGGAGGAGGATGAGGAGGAGGAAGGAGAGGATGAGGAGGAAGGGAAGGATGAGAAGGATAAGGAGGAGGATGAGGAGGAAGATGAGGAGGAGGATGAGGAGTAGGAGGAGGAGGAGGAGTAGCAGCAAGCCAGAGCAGCACCAGTGACCCGAGAAAGTGCGACGCATCGGGAGATGGCCACAAGGACCAAACACGAGGACAGCACATAGCACGAGCTTCTGC